CTCTTATACACATCTAGATGTGTATAAGAGACAGGACAACACAGTGCATTTGGCTAAAAAAAAAGCCAGATGCACACACACAACAAGGGAGGGACGCACAGGGGCCGGCCTAGGCGGCTTGCGAGTGCTTAAAAGTTGATGCTACGCCAAAGGATAATTCGATTCTTAACACAAATCGTTTCGTGACTTATCAGTTGTCTTGCTATAAAAACAGTAGAGCATACGAAAACTCAACACTGCTCGGCGCTGAGTTTGGACGCAAGACACACCCGCACATGCACGCACAAATACACACCCGCACATGCACGCACAAATACACACCGGCACGCACGGACGCACAACTGCACGTCCACGTACCCGAGGAAGGGAGTCTCTCTCTCTCTCTCTCTCTCTCTCTCTCTCTCTCTCTCTCTCTCTCTCTCTCTCTCTCTCTGTGTCTCCCTGTGTGTGTGTGTGTGTGTGTGTGTGTGTGTGCATGCGTCGTTGTGTTTCCTCCTCCCTGCTCAGGAAAATAAGTATGGGTCACCCTTTTCCTCGTACGCCGGCAGCTCCAGTCGATTCGCCTGTTCACAGATCTGCAATAAACACCAGCAGCCAGAATACCGCCGGTTCTGCAAGTCGGCCGATTATTTTCATCCCGCGTGTCTGTGTGCATGCGTCGTTGTGTTTCCTCCTCCCTGTGCAGGAAAATGATAAGTATGGGTCACCCTTCCTCGTATGCCGGCAGCTCCAGTCGATTCGCCTGTTCACAGATCTGCAATAAACAAACACCAGCAGCCAGAACCCAGCCGGTTCTCTCTTTCTTTTCTTTTTTTTTGGAAGAATTCAACATTTCATATGGAAAACGAGGCCTAGGGTCCTCAGCTTAGGCTATGCTGGAAACCGGGTTCAGCGTCCCTCCACTAGCATCTAAAAGAACTCTCCCAAATAAAACCTTGACGCTCATCAAAAGGAGGACCTCAAAGGTCCAGATAATCTTGTGAAATTACAGCACAAAACCGAACCTTGCTGCTTGCTGCTGGTTTCTTATTCAAAATTCGGCCTTCACACTAGCCTCAAATGCAGAACCTAAGGGGGAGGTGCAGTGACTGGCCATTGCTCGGCGCTAGCACTGCCGATTTCCCCCATGGGCAATGCCTGCCCACCCCTCGTCAAGGTGATGAGGGACTGGTACAGCCTTGCTCTCGCACCACAGCTGTGGTGCAAACCTACCCCGTGGGCTGGGGAGAGATCCGGGTTGGTTGGTGTTCCCCCGTACTATAAATAGACTAGTGAGAGGATGAGATAGATGCGTACTACCAAGAAAGATGAAAGCGGCCTACTTCTAGCAAAAGGTAAAGCAATTATTCAAGGTGGTGTCTTACGGGTGTCTGGGGTGTCTGGGCACTTCGGGTTGGCCTCGGCAAAAAAACTCTTGGGCCCCTGTGGTACCACAGCCTACTGGAGTGATCGAGTGAGTCGGGCGCAGTTGTAGGTCATGGCATGTCCGTGTGTACGGATGGCCGTTTCGAACAACGCAGCGCCGCAAAAAAAAAAGAAAAGAAAAAAAAAGCATTCCCTGTGCCCCTCGTTTTCTTCCATTCAGCGGTCTGGCGGACGACCATTTTCGGTGGGCGGGAAAGTGTATGTCGTGTGTGTGCGCCGTTTTCGTATTGGCGTGCACGTGTGTCCGGGTGTGGGAGGGGTGCTGATGTCACTGTGTCTCTCTCTGTCTTGTGTCTGTGCGAGTTCGTGTCGTGTAGCTATGGCGTCTTCGGATGTGTGTTTGTGTCGTGACGAGTGAGCTACACACGGGAGTCCCTCTACAGATGTCCTCGACTTCGTCGTCCTCCTCGTGTCGACATGGTTCGACGTTTGTGATAGGAGACGTTTGAATGTGTCAGTCGTGTTGTCCGAATAGTTAGGGACGTCGCCTCAATGGCACACTAGCAACTTGCAAGTTCTTCTCCGCATGTGCCAGTTGTGCTGGAATACGGTGATGTGATGTCACATTAGAGACAGATTGTTTTCCCTCCATGGCTGCAAAACAAAAAAAGTCGCACACAATGCATGACAATTTTCACAACCTCACATAAGGACACGCTGGAGGAGGTGCATATACACATGTACATGTATTGTAATGACCTCGAAGCATATCCACGATTTAATCTCTCTCTCTCTCTCTCTCTCTCTCTCTCTCTCTCTCTCTCTCTCTCTCTCTCTCTCTCTCTCTCTCTCTCTCTCTCTCTCATATTTCGTGTATGTTTATTTAAATGTATTCTTCCATAAGACAGTGTATGGGCGTCGTTAGACACTCCTATTGAAATCCTCAGGCAATAGGAAAAATTCCTAATGGCTCAAAAGGAAATTTGAGCCCTTCATTTCACCTGTCCTCGGGGACGTCGCCCGAGGACATTTCCTAAGACCGATGTCAAAAAAAAAAA